GAAGATGTGCATGTGGTAGAGGTGAGCAAAACCGAGCCAAAAACCGAAAAATCAAACATAATCGAGCTATGCGGTGCAGTTTTTTAAGAGTTTGGTTAATGGTATAGTTTGAGTTTTGGAAAACCACAAATACTTCAGTGCAGTTCGGTTTTCTGTCCGAATGGTGCGGTTTAACCGAATCGCACCGAATATCATAAAGTGTAACTATACTTTTACACTTTTACTTACTACATATACAAGCTGCAATCTTATGAGTAAAAATTTGGACACAACATCACATAAACATTTACATTTAAAACTTAGAAAGTAAAAAATTTCATTTCTATTCTTTCTTGCCCTTATTTTCACTCTCAATATTAATTTGTAATTTATGGTTACCTTTCTTTTAATTTCGGTTAACAAAAGGGGACCGGACATTGAGAGGCGGACAACGAGGTTATATCGTTCTAAAACTGGTACTTGAACCGAACCGAAACGAACTGTCACTTCATACAACTCCTACAGTGTACTGTAAGAATCTATCAGCCACTTATACCTGTCCAAATCCGGTCTTCCACACTCATATGAAGCACTTAGCCTATATTATTTCTTTGTTCGTGAGAAAGTCAGCACTGGCACCCTTAAAGTCCAGCACATTTCGACCACTCAACAACCCGTTGATGCTCTCACTAAACCACTTCCAAAGACTCGGTTTCAATTATGACTTCCCAAAATTGGTTTCACCGACGGATCGCCAATTTATCTGTTATTCCTTCTATTGCGATGCTGTTCGGTGAAGTTATCCAAAATATTCGATTTTCGATGCGATTTGGTTTTTGACAGACCGAAGCACACCGATGCTCACCCCTAATCTATGGTTGTTTGTTATAGAATATCATATGCATTTAGTATTAGTAGTTTACGTATGCATTATTAAAACCAAGTAATAAGAGATCCAAAAAAAAAAATTATTCAATGGAACAAGTACGATAATTAAAAATAATAAAATTCAACAAGATTTTCTAATACAACATAGTAGGTGATCGACTAGTGATCCTATAAATTTATAAAAACTACATGAAAAGAATTTAGTAGAAATACAAGAAATCGAAGAACCACATATTAGTAATAGTTTTTATAAAAGGAATACTGAAATAAAAAAAAAAAATTAAATGAACAAGTAGACGAGTTAAGCTAATTAATAATAAATCTAAATAATAAAATCTCGTGTTTTAAAACTAGATATAAATGAACATATGAAAGATATAACCCTTGTATTATATGAAATAAAAAAAGAATAAAAAACCAATGAACGAGATTATTTAATCAAAAAAGTAATTCAATATAAATACATAGAAAAAGATGAACAAAAATTAAAATAACTAGATTATAATATACAAAGTTATAAACAAAAATATAGAAAAATAGTGAATATAAGACTAACTAAAACGATAATTTAAAATGGTATCAGACCAGGAAAATAAACACGATATATTAATGAAATCATTTATTAAAGGTAATTTTGTCACTTTATTAAAAAAAAAAAAATATTAAAAAGGTCATTTACATAATACGGTAATGTTCCCGTACTCACGATGGACACATGTTAATATGCCCACCCCACCGGTATAACTTTGACTAGGTACATCCCATTCCTCTTTGGTAAAACCAGGCAAAAGAGAGGTGGCTGTGCTCATTGGCACCTATATTTTAAACCCCTAATTCCTAAACCCTAACATCTCCATACCTTCTTCATTCTCTCGCTTCCACAGCAAACAAGCATGGTCTCAGAGAAGGAACAGAAGACTGCAAAAGTCCCAGTGTGGGATTTGCCTGATGTCCCAAAGGGAACCTTGCCCTCGCACCTCCAACTTCAGAGGACTCGTGTTCACTGTAATTTCGATGCGCCTGCCCATGTAATTCATTTTTTTCCCTTCACTGCGGTTTTTCTTTTGAAGTTGTTGGGTTGTTACAGTTCTCTTATGTTTCCTTTTTTTCTATTTTTGGAAACGAAGACGGAGAGTATTGCATACTCGGGTGCCTATACCGCATTGGGAGTGGATAACAGTTTGAGACTGGAGGAATTTCGCAATAAATTCAGGGTGGAAGTAGTTAGACTCACAGAAGATGACTTGGAATTTGATATGATTGGGATTGATGCTGCTCTTGCCAATGCTTTTCGAAGAATTCTCATAGCTGAGGTGCTACTCGCCCTCTCTATCTCTCATGTGAATGTTTTCTGTGTTTTTAAAGCATTAAAATGGTTATTCCGAAGCTGAAATTGCTTTTTTCATTCCTTTTTTCTCTTGCATTTGTCGATTGCTTTATATATTCAGCCTCTGGATACTTTTGTTTTGTTCTTGAAAAACATGAAAATATGTGATGTGGCAGCAGAATCAGTTATATTTGTCTCTGATTTAGTGGAGCATGACAACTTTTATGCATATTTGTAACAGGATGTCTTGTATAGACTTCTGCATTTAATATGCATTTCCGTGGGTGTGGCGGAGAGAAGCATTAGTAACTTATAGAAATTGAAGCTTCTGCCTCCGAGAGTGCAAACTCTATCGCATTGTTTCTACAGAGAAATTTTCCGGATCCTTATTTTTTATTTGATGAAGAATATTTGATGCAAATTTGTGATTTTCTTTTTTAAATCTTCATTGGTCTTTTTACGTATCTTCGTTATTTTGTTCGGCAAAATTTATTCATGATTAAAGACTGTATTTTTTAGCTATGAAAACTTGTCTCTTGTGTGACAAACTATGTTTGTGGTATATTATGTGAGGATATATATTATTAAAGCACCGACTCTCATCCTTCTTTTTTTCTCGTTGATTTATGAAGGCAATAATAGTATGAGTCTTGCGTTTGGTAATAGATTTTTACTCGACGTATTTTAGTTGATTTGAGTGCTGACCTTTTACCTTCTCTCTGTAGCTTCCGACTATGGCTATTGAAAATGTTCTCGTTGCAAATAACACCTCTGTGATTCAAGATGAGGTGCTTGCCCATAGACTGGGTCTTATTCCACTTAAAGTCGATCCAAGGCTCTTCAATTATAAGTCAGGTTTCACGCGTTTCCACTTCTTCATTAAGTTTGTCATTTAAACTGTTCCTTCTTGACATTACATGAGGTTTTTCTGATGCTGAAGTTTGTTCCTGCTCCAGAAACTGATGAACCGAATGAGAAGAATACTATTGTATTTAAACTTCATGTACGTTGTGAAAAGAAGAGCCCACGTATTAAAGGTACCATTTCGGTCCTTAATAATATGATTTTTTGTTGGTTTTGCGTTATGGTATTTGCGTGTAGTTGTTTTTAATGTCGTCAATATGCAAATTTGATTCTACTATGAAAACAAAATAATGCAGTGACGACTAATGACCTGGAGTGGCTACCAAATGGCAGTGAGTTCGTATTAAGTACACAGAATCCGACTCCAGATTCAAATACAAAGACACAAACCTATACATCCTTCAATTGTAGCCAGGCGTCTTTTCCAGAATTTGTGAACAACCCAATTGGCCCCAAAGATAAAGATATACTTATAGCTAAGCTTGGACCTGGACAGGTATGGTTAATGTGGAATGCTTTGTTCTCTTTTGATACTTAAACTCAGAACATGACTCAGACATTCTTGTTCTTTTAAATCAGTCTTAATTGTAAATTGCAGAGTCCTAAATCTTTTGGCATTGTTGTACAATCTAGTAGCCTGTGTTCTTTTTTTTTTTTTTAATAATATCACTTGGTTACTAAATGATACACTCTCATGAGAAGAGCCATGTAATGAACTGTAAAATACAATTGGAAACATCTTGAATAACTACTGTAACAGTGCTGCTGGTATAATTTTGATGATGTTCTGTATTCGTTAGCTTACTTGTTTATTCTTTGTCAAGAGTTACTATAAAATCTGTAAAAATAGATCAATTTTTTGTTGTTTATGAAATTATACTGCTATTTTTGCAGGAAATTGAGCTGGAAGCACATGCTGTGAAAGGAATGGGCAAGACTCATGCGAAGTGGTCACCTGTTGCCACTGCTTGGTATAGGATGCTTCCTGAGGTAATAAATGTGTTATTATCTTTGTCCTCATTCTTGGTTCCGTTACATTTTACACTCTGAAACCCATTCAATGTTGTATGAAATTTTTTATCAAGTTATGTGAACTTGTAATACAATACAGTGGGAGCCATTGTAAGCAACTGAAAATTGTGATTTTATCGTTTGTATAGGTTGTCCTATTGCAAGAAATTGAAGATGAAATGGCTGAAGAACTCGTGAGGAAATGTCCTATTGGAGTTTTTGATATTGAAGATGTCGGCAATAGTAAGATAAATGAAAAAGATAGACTTGGTTATCATCTACCCTTGAAAAATCTCTTTTCCATTGCTTAAGAGTTCTTATCCTATATATTTGGAAGAATAGTGTAAAACAACAAGTAATTAGAAACAAAAATACAACCTAAAACAACACTAAATTTTAAACGGAGGGAGTGCCTGATATGGACAATTAGGAAAATGTTCCTAAATTTTACTTTACCAACATCAATAATTGGTATTCTGTTAAACTGCGGGGAAAAAACCGGTATCTTTGTGGGATGGGGGATGTATATTTTAACTGTAGAGGGAAAAATACATTTTATTAGAAGCAGCTGGTATTGGAGTATGTGTATGAGTTAAA